TTCAGATACACTCCAGACACAGAAGTCATTCTGTCACTTATTCAAGATCCCAGTTATAGTACAGATACACTCCAGACACGGAAATTATTCTGCTACTCATACAGATCTCAACTTCAGATACAGTCTAGATACGCTCCATACACGGTTTCCATTTTGTCACTTATTCTGACTTTTTCCCTAGCCCAGAGATGCTCCAGACACAGATGTTATTTTGTCGTTTATTCAGATTTCAGATTCAGATACAATACGGATACACTCAAGACACGGAAGTCGTTCTCTTATTCATTCAAGAATCAAATATAGTTACAACTCGGATACGCTCTAGACACGGCGACCATACCCTTGCTCATACAGACTCAGTCTCCAGATACAGTACAGATACGTTCCAGACACGGATACCATTCTGATACTCATTTCTTGACTTACAACATACAACTCAACAAACATTCTTGGATGGCATCTTTAAGCCCATCTCCAACAAGATTCTCTCGCATCTCCAAATGGCATCTTTAAGCCCATTCTCTCAACTACATTTTGACGAGTGCAAATTTACGGGCACTCTAGTGTCCAATCATCTTTTACCTTCGAGTCACGAACGACAAAGCTCGCCAATCTAACTCTTCAGGTTCAAGAAGATTGAACAGGGTCATCTGTTGTACCCCAAAATTTGCCCTCTCATTTTATCAAGATTCTCCTCACAAGACTTCTTGGACTCAAGACCAGATTAGGGTTTGCTCAGCTCAAGGCATCTCCTTGCACTGATGACCTGAAATTAGGGTTTGAGTTTGCACAAGGATTTTTGGACTTCCAATACCTCATGTGACTTTCATACACCATCTTGGACTCCTAAGATTTCTCATACCAAGTTTCAAGCCTTGAATCACATTTTTGCCCAGTCAATTGGACAGTTGACATAAAAATCAACTGTATTGGGGAAAAAGTCAACCATGGCCAATTTACAGTCAAACTTCATAATTTTTGATCCACATCAACATTATAGACTCATATGAACCATTTTATCAAGTTTGGACCACAACTCCTCAAGAAATTTGATCAGATCATCAAAAGGGCAAAATGGTCAAAATTAGGGTTTTGACTATAGAAGGGCAATTTTTGATTTTTGACCTAGCCAATGGCAAATTGGATTCAAGCATGGTTTCAAGAACTCAATGGCATTATCTTGACCTAATCACAAGGTTCAAAAGATCTCAAATGCATTGGATTGACAAATGAATTTTCCAGTCAACTGATCAAAAATCAACTGTACACTAAAAAGTCAAACTTTGACTTTTTGGTCAAAATCAAGGGCCAAGGGTCATTTTTCATCAAGATGTGTCAAAACATGAAACTTGTTCACCAAGAAACCTAATTTTGGAAATTAGGGTTTAAGTTTGAAAATTTTCATAACTTAGAAATTTTCTAAGTTAAGAAAATTTCTTATTTTTTCCCAACTTTTCCCAACTTTTTCACCATGATGCAATTGGATTCAAAGAAAACTTCCAACATGAAAGTTGTATTACTCCATAAAATCTACAACTTTTATTCACAAAGTTTTCCCAAATGATGCTTGGATCTCAAGTTATGATTTTGTGAATAAGGGTCCATGAAACTTTTAACTTAGTGAAATTTTGCCCTAGTTTAGGCAGATTTTTGACCTAACTTCATGGCAACTTTTCACCTAGTTCCAAGTGGAATCTCAAAATTCATTTCAAATATGGATTGTAGAGAATGTTACAAGCTTTCCAAAATGTCCAAGAAATCTCCAAGATCATTTGTGGTTAGGGAGAATCGAAAGTTTGAAAATGGCAAATCATCACTTTTGTCCAAGGCATTTTGCACCATGTTACAACTTACAAATCAGTTTGAATCATGCTTGTACTTGAATTACATGTTATAATCCTTTTTACACTCCAAAATTGAATGCAAATACAATGGTTAATGGCATTGTTCTGATCTTTGAAACTTTGTACAAGGGTTTAATCCAAAAATGGCAAAAAGGTTATAATGCTACTTTGATAAAGTTAACTTTTACAAACTTTGTTTATCTTGAGCCATGGACCTAAGCTTTTGCTGCAAACAAACTCCACAAATATCAAGCAAAGTTCACCAACCCTATGAAGACCTTGAGCTAGCCTGTACAAGCCTTTGCCTTTGTCAACTCACCTTTTCTTCAAAAACAAGCCAACATGCAAAAGTGAACATAACTTGAGTATCTGTTAAAACCAAGTCTGGTAACATTTTCAAACAACTTTAGCATATTGTAGCAAGCCAGAAACACGATTTTCCAAGTTCTCAAACACCATAAAACACGAAATCACAAGTTCTTTCCCAAACAGGGCATCATCTGCAGAACTACTTCCAAAACAAAATTGGCTCGTGCGTTTTTCCTTGAACCACTTCAAACACATTCCCTATAACCCATCTGAACTATCCAAGCACCTGTCCAGCAACTGTAACCTCATTTTCACACTTCACCATTTTCATTTTGAAGCTTTGCAGGTTGACTTCTACAAGGAGATTCAAGCCATTTCAAAGCAAGCTGAACATTGAGAAAGGTTGAGGGAAGTTCAAGCAAGCTCACAAGTACTTCAGGCCTCACTCAAAGTTGCTACATTGCCATAAACAAACTCAATTGAACAAGGTATTTGTCAACTTTCTATCTCCTTATTTAGACATCCTTAGGCTTAGGTTTGTGAAGCAAAAATGTAGTCCTTAATGTCCTTGAGCTGTACATATGCATAGTTCTTATTTATATCAACTGAGCTAGGAGAATTTGGATGTTGAAGTTGTTGAAAAAGTTAGGTTAGAATTTAGGGCCATTAAAATTCTCTCTGTCCTTTGAGAGTTAGGTCACAAAATGGATATGGTTGGAATCGTGATTGAAAATGTTATAACTTTCATGTTGTAAATTTTTGATTTCATGCAAGCAATAGAGAGAACATGATTGACATGGCAGAAGCGCGCGCGTGGCTGTCCCAAGGACAGGGACGAAGTGAGAGTGGGTCTGGGCCTGACTTGGTTCTGTTTGCACCCCACATTCTGTTATTTGCACCCCCTTGGCCCATTTTCCATATTTTTCATATTTTCCATTTTTTTTTATATTTTCTGACTTTATTTAATTTTTTCTAAATATTTAAAATCACAAAAAATATTCTCTTAATTTTTCACATTTTATTTTATTATTTTTATTATTTTCTTGGCATAAAAATAGTTTATTAAATAATATATACTTTATTTTCTTAAATAAATTTGTAAATAATATTAAAATACTTATATATTTTATTTTATTATATTATACATATAAAATAATATTTTCTCACATATTTTATTTTTTTAACATTTTTGTATATATTTTTATTTATTTTCTTGTACATAAAAATGAATAAATAAATAATATAGAATATATCTTTTTTTAACAAAAATTAAGGTTTCTTCACCCTTTCAAAAATAATCATTTTATTTTCCCTTATTTTTAAGACTTAAATAAATTTATTTTACATATATAAAAAAAAATACAAAAACATTTTGCATATTTACATTTATTTGCATATTTAAATAATTGTCTATTTATTTATTATTGTATAAATTCAATATGGTTGTAATAGTTTTAGGGTTTTGTTTTGTGCAAATATCCCCCTATTCAAACTTGTATCCCCCTCCCCATAATAATGTTGTAATAATTTAGATTTACTTTACGCATTTTATCGCTTTCAAATGCCATGATAGTAAATTAGGGTTTTGTATGCAAAGACCAAAATCAAAACAAATAGCATGACTTAATACAAGACAAAAAAGCATGAAAAATGACAACACAATGCACACAAGCACCCCTAGGGTTTCATCCATTTTGTAGCCTTAAAATGGCCATGGTATGCATGCTAGGTGTCTTGGCAAAATCAATGCAAAAACAAAAAGATCATAGTCCCTCGATGACACTATCTTGGTTTCCTATACAAAGATGATCTTAAGTCCCTAAAACTTGCTAAGATACTTGGCACCATTGCTATCATGGTCATACGATGACCCACGCCTGTCCCGTTTAACATCCAAAGATAAGGTTGTTTAGCAAATGCAATGGTAAAACAACAATGGCAAAGGGTTAAAAATGTACAAGAAAGACTTTTGATTGGGTAGATGCTCCTAGTTACTTGATCAATTTGCAAACCATCCTTGCTAATTTCAAAAAAACACACACACAATTTCAAAACATTTCCCAACAAACTTTCAAACATTGAAACATTTTTCAAAAGACAAACATCTTTGTATACATTCTTCAAACAAGAATCATTACAAAGATTGCCAAAACGATGGCCTCTTTTCAAAATACTTTCAAAACCACACAAAGCACCATTTCAAACAATTGAAAAAAGCAAAGCAAGTGATCTAAATAAGTAACTAAGAGCCCATGTAAAACCATGGATGAAAAGGGTGCTAGCACCTTCCCTTTTCATAATCTACCCCTCGAACCCAAGAAAACATCTCAAAGGTCTTTCCTGTGCTTTTTGACCTTTCCTTTGGATAAAATAAAAAGTCAGTGGCGACTCTTGCTAAACTGAAACATTTGCGAACACAAACGCAAAACCTCAAGTCAGTTCTCCCACCGTATCACAACTTTGATATTGCCAGTGTTAACAACATCTGTTGAAAGAGCTTTTTCAACAATGAAGATTATCTGCGTAATAAGATCATCGATGCATGGTTCAATGACATGATGGTATGTTACACCGAGCAGGAGATATTCAAGTCACTTGATGATATTGATATTATTCCAACATTCACCGTAAAGAAGTCTCAGAAAAGATATTTGCCTCCTGATTTTATTTAAGACGCTATTATAATATTATGTTTCATCTCTTTTATTTTAAACTATATATTTTTTTGACAAAAATGACAAATCTCTTTTATTTTGATTGATGACTATTTATATATTATATCAAATGTGAATATATGGTCTTTAAAATTTTGCCGAGGCTTCATAATTTTTCTAGTTTTGCCACTGATTAATTGTAAAATACTTTATGCTTCACCACATTCTGAAAGTGTGGTATTGTATCTCTGGTGAGGGTTTCCAAAGTGTAAGCCCTTTTTCCTAGACTGCAATGACTTTGTATGGTCCTATCAAATTGAGTGTTAATTTTCACCTGAGGCATTACTGCGACCAACATTTTCCCTTCTTAGAACAAGGTCTCCCGTGATGAAGATATTGGGTAAAACTTTCTTATTGTGCTTTGATGTCATTTTTTGCTTTATGATAGCTTCTCTTAGAACAATTCAATCTCTTTGTTCTTATCAGAGATACATATCTTCTCTATATTCCACTTTGTTGATCTCTCAGGTGGTTCGTTGGGAAGTCTTCTAGCTAAGTATCCCATTTCTATGGGAATTACCACTTTAGATCCATAGGTAAGTCGAAAAATGGTCTCTTTCATTGAAGAATGTAGGGTGGTATGACATGCACATATGATGTGCAGTAGATTTTCAACCCAATTTTCTTTGGAATCACCCCCTCTCCTTCTCAAGCCTATAAGTAAAACCTTATTTGTCGAACCTTGTTAATATATTACTTTTAAAGAAACACAATATGCCATGGCCCGTGATTTTTGCCAGTGGTTCTACTTTGATCAATTTCATAAAATAGTGAGGGGAGTCAATATTTTTCTTAGGAGGAGTAGGTATACTCTATTTATTTGTGAGGAGGATTTAACTACTCCAATATTTTTCTTCTTAAAATCTCTGTTTTACCATTTCTTTGAGAGACACATTGTCATCATCAAAAAGTAGGAGAATGTATTTATATATGTTATGCAGGTATTTGTGAATTCAATTATGGCTATAATGATGATAAAAAAGCAAATCAAATCAATCATGAGAATCATCAAAGAAAAAATATTAAATTTTATCAAAAAGGGAATCGAAGAAGGTTTTAGTGCAAAGAAAGTCAAATGCTAAGATCAACATCAAAGGAATTCAAATTTTTGAAAGCTTACTTGATATTGCGCCTTATAATATTTTTAGCTATTTAGGATAAATAATGTGTAAATAAGTGTGAGTTGCTCTCATGGTATTAAAGTAATGCATACAAACACATGCTCAAAATGTTTTATAAACTCCATCTCTTTAAAAACCTTCTTAAAACCCATTTATGGCCATTTTCTAATCGATTAGAAATCATCTTAACCAATTAAGAAAGCAAAATTTTGCTCTTTATTTGAGTAGAATATGTGTCTAATAGATTATGGAGCGACGAGCGACATCGCCACTTAATCGATTAGGAACCCTCATAAAGGTTGTAAATTGAACTTGAGTAAAAACTTGGTGTAAGGAGTCTATTAGTTGATCTTGTGATAAAAGATCAAATTGATAGGGAAATTCTCAAAGGAAAACTCTTGGAACCGAAGTATCTCGTATAGTTTAAAATCAAACCAATATAAATCTAGTGCACTATTTTTAACTCTTATCTTTTAATTTTCTATATTTTATTTTTCATGCTTAAATATTTACTTCATCTTTACTAGACCAAATTAAAATCATTTTTTAAAAATTTTCAAAAACCATATATCCTAATTAACCTTCCTCTTGTGTTTAGTCCTCTTATGTTTGAAGTAACTTCATCAACACTTCAGCTTGTTTATCACAAAACAAAGTTAACATGTTCATCACAAAACAAAGTTAACATGTTCATTACAAAGCATACTTCATCATGTTCATCATAGAACATGCAATAGTTGGTTCATAACAAAGCATACTTCAACCTCTCTATAATCGTCAAACAAGTTTATCACTATATTATTGATCAATCTATTCTGAGTGTGCTCTTGATAAATCAATATCATTCATATTAATTTGATGCAAAATATTGCATTTTAACTATACCCACTTTTTAAGTATGTATCTATTATCAATTTTAAAACAAACCATACACTCTACAACTCTCACACTATATCCATGAATCAACCTTTAAAGTATGTTATTATCAATCAATCGCATGCATTCTGAGTTGTAATCTTAGTCCAAACACAATCACGTTCATTTGTAACTTCCTCAAGTCTTACTCTTATGTTAAATTGAGTGAATTTTTGTAAGCCTACTGAAACTAAGAGAATACATGTTAGAAGTCTCATGAGTTAAGAGAATATACAATTTATAGTTCTTTATGACCAACAAGTTGACGGTGCAGTACTTGAACATGTTTCCTCAAGCACCCTAGTAAAAATCTCACAGTAATGAAGGGTGAACTAGTCCACATTAGGTAAATAATTTGAGTTTTGGATTTAATGGTTTTTGATGTAGAATTTAAGGAAATAATCAAAGAAGAATTAATGAGAATACCAGAAAAGAAAGACATTGATTTAAGGATAAAGGGGAAAAGAATGAGATTTTATTATGATTTTTGAGTTTTTAATATGAACTAGTAAGATAGTAAGATATCTCTACGTCTGTACGTGTAAATTTATTTTAATAAAATATAAAATATAAGATATACCGAGTTTTTTAATCATAAAATAAATCATTATTATATAAATTGAATTGATTAAAATAAAATATATATTATATTAATAATGACCCGTGAATTTAAATATTTTATTATTTAAAAATTTGATATTAATATATAATACTCAAAATTTTCTATTTGATGTTAATAAATGGTAATTAAAATATGTTTCAAGATAGAAAGTAAAATAATACATATTTTTTAAATTGGATTGGTAACATTTATTTTTGTCTGTACTAAAAGTATAGATTTTACCTCTTAAATAAATATTATTATTGTTTAAAATAAAATAGAAAATATAATATAGTGGCCCATGAGATGTAAAACAAATTTTGTGATAAATCAATTGTTAATTTTATTAAAATTATAAAATATACTAGTTAAAGATAAATACGAATGTTGTTGGTTATTAAGTTCTCTAACAATTCAAAGATCAACAAAACGAATGAACATCTTCCATATCTTGATCTTTTGTTTCGAGTCACCAATAAAGATATGAGGTTTTGATATTTAACACATGTTTGAGTACATTAATATGAGAATCATGTAAAACAAAGTCAGTGAGCAATAAAGACAATAAAATAAGTTGAAAACTTGAAACTCATGTTGTAATAATATCGCAAATCATGAAATAGATAAGTTGCTATATTAAAAAAATCGACAAAATTCGTAGAATATGAAAAATCGTAGAAAAATAACAGATCATGAAATAAATATTTGAAACAGCTAAGTTGAAACAGATCTGAAACATAGTTATGAAAGAAGATGGAAAACTCAATATGTGAAATAGTATAGAGTAGAGCAGACCGTAGAATATAATAAAAGAGTTTTGTGTTGGAAAAGGAAAAAAACTTATGAATATTGATTTAGCTGCTTGTAATGAGAACTAAAATTATATTATAATTATTCAAAAATATATTTATTACAAAATTTATCATAAATAAATAATTATATATAAATAGATAAATATATATAAATATTAATATAATTAAAATTTACTATAAAGAGATAAATATATAAGGATACTAGTCGATAACCCGTGCTGTCGCACGGGGCCGGTCGAGAATTCATAAAACGTGGAACTAATGTTGTCATGTAACAGTAAATTCGTTTTTATGTAATTCAATAAAAGTTCATCTAATTCGGCCAAATTTAGTGTATCAAACATATTTGACAACATTAAAAAATGTAACATGAAATCAAGATTGTGTAACAAAATAAGAAACTGTGATGAATCTTCAAAATAAGAAACTATCACGAGTCTTCAGATACAACGCAACCAGCTTGGAAACGATGTTTTCAACTTTTTGACCCGCACAATAAATTATGCAAAAATTAGACAGCATTTACGGAAACAATTTATATTAAAGAAAATATTTGTTATTATGTACTTACCGATCAACAAAGAGATTGGAAAACTTCTTTGTATACAACATTTGTAGTGATAGATGTTGATACATTCATACTATCATGTATTAAGATCTTCAGACCACTTTTGCTTGTAACTCTTGAAATGGCTACATACAACTGGCCATGACTGAATACAGGAGTAGGCAAATACAATCCAACTGTATCAAGTGATTGGCCTTGAGACTTATTAATTGTCATTGCGTACGACACAATAATTGGGAACTGTCTCCTAATCAACTTAAATGGCCACGGTGACTCGGAAGGTGACATAGACATTCGAGGGATGTAAAAGATGTTACCAACATTCTTACCAGACATGATCTTTACCTCAATAACGTGATTTGCCAACCTTGTAACAATTAGTCTAGTTCCGTTACACAAACCATCGTTTTGGTCCAAATTCCTCATAAGCATTATTGGTGTACCAACCTTTAATCTGAGTTTGTGATTTGGGACACCTGAAGTCCTAAGCTTGCTAAGAAATTCTGGAGTAAGACATTCATAGGCTTCGGTGTAACTTGAATCAGTTCTATCAATCGAATCAAAACACAAATACTCTTTGTCCTCACCTAAGAAATGGGAAAACGCGAATCAATCCATAATGTTTTTTCAAGAATAATTTAATAACGAAACATCAACACGAAAATAAACATCAAAAGAAAAAATAGTTTACCCGGTATCATGTCTAACACGTAATGATTAATTTTATCAACAACTTCAATGGTTGAAGCAAGTATTGCTTTTCCTTGTAGAAATTCTACATTTTGAAAGTCGGCAAGCAAATTTGGGTATGTCCTTTCAACTATAGCTCTTATTGGATCCTCAAAATTGGAAATTAACAAATCCGGAGGAATTTCTATATCAGCTAGTCCATCGTTAGGTTCACATATTTTACCGTCGCCAACATTTAATATCCATTTAGAGAATTATGCAAGTTCATCAGAAGTTGTACCGTCCCTCCCATTCTTTAGTCTCATGTTTTTGGTTAGTGTTAAGACTTGGCAATAGTCCCACACATAAGAAGAACAAATGGAAGCATGAACAATATCAGAACGGCCTGCTCTTGGAACAACTGGAAGTATCTGTCGAAAATCTCCTCCAAATATAACTACCTTGCCACCAAAAATTGTATTTGCAAAACCCTTATCGCTCATGACATCCTTAAGGGTCTTATCCAAGGCCTCAAAACAATTCTTATGAGCCATGGGTGCTTCGTCCCATATTATGACATCAGTACGGTTTGTAATTGTATGAAATTTAACAGAAGTATTTAGGTATTTGTTAAGTGTACCTCTTATTCCAGTGACAATTCTCTGTTGATGAAGAATACCGTCAGATAGTAACTTCCAAGTCTGTTGCCAAACATGTCGCGGTCGATTAACAGTACCAGACAACAGCATCGTGACAAATAGCTTCCTCAAAAAATTACCGGAACCCCAATATTTGGCCTCATTTATGGCTGCAACATATTATTTGTCGTCGTTAAGAAATCCCATCTCAAAGCATGCATCTCTAAAACTGTCGCGGACTACTCCACCAACCTTTTTTATATCGTCATAGCAAGTTGGTCCCTTGACAACCGTCAACATCATTCTAAGGTAATAGAGCTCACCAGTGCTTGGAGGAACCCAAATTAACCGGCCAATCGTACGACCTCTTTTTCGAGGTCTCCATAAACGGTACCTTTTATCGTAAACGAACTTGGAAAGAAACGCAGTGTATGTTAAAGTCTTTGCATCTTCATATTTTTTGTTTGACTCCATCCAAGCTGTAAACATTGATTCCTTTACAGTTGGTTTTTCAAGAACATTGTCTATGAAATCATAGTCAGTGTAGTAAACCGGATTTTCACCTTCCAGATGAAAATACAACCTTTCGACAGAAGGAGATCTACCATGGATAGGATATGAAAAAATCCTCCAACACGCCTCACTCGGGGAAACGTACCTGCAATCAAGGTACTGTTTGATTTCATCAACATCTGTACCAAATGAACTTCCGTCTGATTCGGTCCGAACAACCGCTGCAGTTATTCTATCGTAACCTTTGTTAATATACTTGAATAAGTACTTGACAGAAGTACCTTGGTTACACCATTCCATATTAATGTGCGCCTGATATTTCTTTAGAAGATATGCATTATAAGGAACTACATACCTATTATCAAGAACAATACTTTTTTTCAGAACAGTAATGCCAGTATCCCTTCTCCTATAGACGGGATAGCCATCTTGATCGACAATGGTTTGAGGCTGCCAATTTTTGGGAAAGAATTTAGAGCATTTACCATTTTTCATGCAAGGGGAAGATCTGTTAGCCAACCCACATGGACCATGAATCATATGTGTCTTTACCAAATGATTTAATTGTTTATCATCCGTTTTTGCCGGTATTTCTGCTGAAATAATGTTGTTGATGTCATCCGGAGTGGGAAACTTGTTCTGGTGATGCATGAAAAGTAAAATGTGTGCATGGGGCAAACCTCTCTTTTGGAACTCAATGGTGTATATATCTGGAAGAAATTAAAATACAGTAAAACATTAATTTAAAATCATTGGTATAGAATAGGGAAGAATTAAGTATTACATATTTAATTTCATGTGGCTCACATGCAACAACTCTGCCCAAGACATGCTTCTTTGTTATATCATACAGTAATTCGTCAAACTTCATTTTAAAAACCCTTGAGATTATATCAGGACGATCTTGAGGTTGTAAATTCATGTTGTTAAGAAACCTCTGAATCTCTGGCCAACATGGATTGCAAGTAAAGGTAATGAATAGATCGGGAAATCCAATTTGACTATAAATTGCCATTCCATCAAAGTATAATTGTTCCATGTATCTGCGACTTCCAACGTATGTTGACGGCAACACCACTCTTTTGCCTTTGTGGGCTCCTTCATTTGAAGATTGTTGGTGTACTCCTGACAAATTGGAGTATTTGGATACTCGTAATTTTTTTTGATGCTTACGTATGTAATTGAGTCGCTGTGACTCCATCATAGTGAATCCATCAACCAAAAATTGCTGAAACAATCTCCTTGACCTGAGCAGTGTGTGAGCTTCACGTTGTCTGGTATGAATGCGAAAGGCCAGCCATTCTCTAATAGTAAGTTTGTTCATCTTTCCTTTTTTTTGGGAACTGTCTCTCTGTGTAGAACGCCAAGTCTAAATCCATCTTCCCCGTATGGAAACAGAAGTGGATATTGTAATGCAAGATAGCTCGGATGAAACTCACTTATTCGTTTTAGTCTACCGCTTTGTCTTTCAAGGATAATATCCCTTTTTGAGCCTGTATCAACATCACCAACAATGAGGGCTGCAACCTCAGACACGGTGGGTTGGTTGTAAATTCGTCCGTCCTTTAATCTATCAGATATTAACTTCAACTTGAGGTCAGGTACAGGACAATCCTTTAGTCTAGCTGATGCCATTCTAAAAGATTTAGCATGTGTGTTGAATTCGTCAAGCATGTTCTGTATTCGGCTAACAGTTTCTTTAATAATATTATGGTTGTTGCTGCATTAAAAAATTAGACACATGTCATGCACGATAATAACAAAGGTAATATAAAGTAGGCATCTCAGTTGGCTTAAGAAACATAACCCTATTCCTTGCATCCTATGATGAATCTCATTGTCAGTGTCGTATATATAAAGCTGAGCGAATTTCGGTTTTTCGCCATGCACAGGCGTCATGCTACCAATTCTATGGCAAGCCTGCCCTTGAATTCTCATGTTAGGTGGTCCATTTCCATTATTGAATCTATTGTCAATTTTCATTCCAGGAGACGTAAATGCAAACATTATGTTGTACAGTCTGCAATTCTGCTGATAATTTCTACATAGTACATCGTTTTCATTCGACAAAAGATGTTTAAGAAACGGTGGTGGTGTTCTCAGAAGTGGCAACACAACTTTACCCTTTCCACAACATAATTGGAACTTAGGCACTGCACTATGTTTTCTCTTGACAACTTTCTCCTGATACCACATTTGTGCTCCACACTGAGTGCATTCAATGGAAGGATCACCAATATCTGAATATCCTGTATTTATCAGATAGAACGAAACATCATATATCTTATACACATCAGTATATTCATAGACACCAAACTGCATGACAGTGAATTTAAGTTATGGTTTGCTATTAATAATAATTCCAGCAATACATACCAGCATTTGTGCAATCAATTGTTGGGACATTTGCAGAATGATCTTCGTCGTTGTCCAGACTTGAACTTGTATCATAATCCGGATCTTCATTTATGAATTCACACGAACTATCAGTTAAAGATTCATCGGATGAATAGTCTGCAACTGATTGTTGAACTGGGTTCACTGAGTCAGCACTTCTGAACAGATTGGTATTAAGGGAAGTTGACGTCGTTTCTGTAACACTTGAAAAGGTTTTTAATAGATTTGCAGTCGTTGGACGAATTAGATTTGGATCAAGATGTTTGTTGGATGAAGATGCATAGGAAGTCGGTAGTCCATATGAATTATTTTTGCATTTAATACTTGATGAGGAGGTAACGCCACTCAGAGGTGTGTTAGCATCAAACGGTAAAGGGGAACAAAAGGGCATTCTATCAGCGAGTTTGATCTGCAGATGACCACGATGGCTGTTGTTTTGGGGACTCTTACGCTTCATTATTGACCTCCTTCTTTGACGTGCTGAAGCAGAAATTTGTTTGGGAGAAATTGTATCAGTAGAAATGCATGAGAAGCTGGGGGAAGATGCAGGTGTTGGGGTTGTGCACTGGTTAAAACCAACACTCCTTCTCCTTTGTTGGGAATTAAGCATTACGCACTCTGTTCGTGCAGAAACATCTCCATGGCCATTGACAAAAACAGAACTGATATCAGACAGTGGCTGTCTTGTATGATGTCTGCTTATATAACTTGAATTATTTAGGTCATGGTTGTGCTCAGTTGAATTTTCATTAACTCTATTCTTCTTAAATCTTCTTTTATCAAGAACATGCTTCCTCTTTTGTCTTGCAAGTGATGCAGAGTATTTCCTATCTACAAAATGGTTGTTCATAGTTGAAAGAGAATATGGTTGATAACTTACAACTCTTCATAAGTATAACATAATGAATGTAAGAGTAACAAACCTATATGGAATTGTTTGGTTTTGCAGTTCATAACATTTGTATTCTAATTTTTAAGTGTACTCAGATACTCTATTTGTGCATTGGATATGAGATAGGGTACAATGCATTACATCAGTGAAGTTGCTATATAACATTAATTGTGTTTCATCATTACAGTATATGCTACCAAAGCTTAACAATTATGGGTAGAGGTTAAAAAAGTTAATGTCACATCAATACCATATGTTGGCCAAACTTTAAACAATTATTAGAACACCAAATATTATAATATGACATTAAATACTGTTATGTTGGAAACACAAAATTGCCATTGGAAACCAAAGGTTATTCCTATTGTATTCTATACTATCATCATTTTTTTTTGTAACATGTAACCATGGTTTGATGTAAATGTGTAAAATTAAAAGTACTTCCAAAAATATACATTTTCCAAGGGATATAAAATGGAATGATCAGAAACTGTTTGTATTCTACATGTCATGTATAGTGTCTTATGTAACTAATGCTTGCTTGTTGGGCCAACAAAAGTTATTGTCTAACGTCAGTTTTACTCCATCTCCCTGTCTCTTCGGTTTTCCATCAGAAACAACATTCCAAGAAGACGGTACACCTTTGAAACAGCATTTTGCTCCAGACAGCGCCGGCCAACCAATACAATGAAGAAAGAGTATCTACGTTGGTGTTCCCGCGGGTAAGTTCTTCCGTTTTGACACACATGTTTCTAAACTTGCAATGAGATCATTTAGGGTTTATACAAAGATGTCTGTGTGCATGATGGGCATGAATGAATTTATATGCAGGGGATTCGTTGGTAGAAGTCACACAACCACGACTCCTAATCCTAAATGGAAAATTTTGGCTATCCAAAAGGTTTGGAAGCAATCAGAGGATAAGCGGGACAGAGCAGAAGAATGGAGAAAGTTGCATGTAGAGGCTAAGAGGAGGAAAGAGGAAGCTGAAAGTTCTTCAAGGTAAAACAGTATTCTGGATAGTGGAAAAAACAAAAAACTGAATGCATGATGTTTGTTGTTTTTTTGATTAAGCAGCAGGAGTTGCATAAAATTTACACGTGCTGAACTTATGGACAAATACTATGAGTATGTCGAAAGAGAGGAATCGTACGAACTGAGAACATGAAAGGTGAGAAGCTGTCTATCAGTGGAAAAGTACTTTGAAATAGCTAGAGAGGAGGGATGGCTTGTTGACATATCAGACGATGAGCCTGAACAGAATTCCACTGATGAAGCAATGGAATCAGCGGGCGATGTGTTGGACATGCAAGGGCTTTTAGGTTACATATATACATTTGAATATTTGACTTTGCAAATGAGTAGTTTAAATAATCGTGTTTGTTAATGCAGCGAGGAGAACAACACTACTGATGCTGTCGATGTTGTACAACCTCCTGCCATGCAAGAGAAACTTGTTTGCAGATGGCAGAAAGTTGTTAAGAGCAGCAACCAGATAAAAAATCAAGTTCTTGTAAGCTCTTGATCTGTTTGCTGTTACAGTTTGTAAGGATGCATAACATTGAATGTAGACATAGCTAATAAAGTTTTAATGTTGCAGCACTTTCCAGCAGCAGTCATCAAGGAAATCTTCATGGAACCAAGATCATATATTGATCTTCATGACACAGACTCAGGTATTACGTACCAATGTGTTTTCAAATCCAGGGAGAACATCACCGAGAAGTTTCTGTCAAGGGGCTGGTTAAAATTTGCAAAGGACAAAGAGCTGTCGAAAGGTGACGTTCTCTTATTCAGTGTAGAGTATCCTCCTGTGGAACGTATATTGGTCAAAGTTGAGAGAGGGCAGCATTGAAAGGAGTTGTTGATTGGATTACATGGGAAGCATCATGGCAAAAAGGAGGGATTATTTTTGTATGGGCGGAAATGCATAACTATTTGTTTTGAAAATCTATTTGATGCCCATTTGTCTTTGTTATTAGTTTTGTTATTTGATATTGTTGGGCTACGGCTCAATGTACAATCTGCTTATGATTTGTTAAATGGGATGATACGAAATTAGTTCCATATCTTGTGTTGATGAGATAATTGCATATTGTTTCCGGTATTATCCGGTAACAATTTATATTAATCAAGTGTCATGGATTTCTGTTATGCATAATCTGTTATTCATGTATTAGTTTTTTAGATTAATGTACAGTATGCTGATATACTACCGTGTATTATGCATAAAGTATGCAAAACAATATGGATTGTCCAGCATCAAGACATAAAGAGAAACATTTTTGTCCAGAATAAGTTTATTATATTAAACAAAATAAGGAATTACCAACATCATATTGCTTTTTGCAGTGTAAATTATACATAGTTTTTTGTAGCTTAAATGACTAAAATCATATCATTCTTTCATATACAATGTCAAAAGGATCAAACAAAAAGCAAGAATGACAAATCAAATCCTCATAAACCAGAATAAACAAAATGTAAACCAGAAATATTTCATTACATCAATCAAAATAAGGTGTGCAATGTTGTCCAAAACAGCTTAAAGTAAAAATAAATCGTCGACGATAATTGACTGCATCATTTCTCCAGCTTGATGTCCCTTATTATCTTGGTGGACGATAATTGGGCACTGTCGAGTTCTTCAACTGTCTCAGGAATAGATCTTTTTGACGGTGTAAGTGCAGAGTTGGCAACTGAAGGGTCATAATCTGCAGTGATTGATAACGGATCCTGCCATTAAAGAGTCATTACAAAATCAGTAGCATAAAAAAGGAAGTAAGACATTGTTTAATAGGCTAATTTGTTAATGTTGAAAGCTAAAAAAAGACGCACTGAAACTGTTTGTGGATCATCATGAGACTGTTTTTCCGAGGTGCTGATGGTCGGAGTACACTGCAAGTTAAAAAACGCAAGAAATAAACGTTAGACAATTGTTCAAAATGTGATGGCAAGAGTAATAGGTCGTTCCTATTTAAAACATACCGATGCTGTATGCATATCATCCCGAGTGTCATCTATTGAGACGACAATCTTTGAAGTGTGCTGCAAGTTTTAAACAATTGTTAAAAAAATCCAATGCACATGATACTGATTTTAACAACAGTAAAACATGAGTACAGCAGTACCTCTTCACATTTAAACCTCTCCTTTATTTTGGTACGTAGCACTTCATCTGCCTTAAATCCAATTACAGAAAGACTGGCCTTGTTTGGTTGAAACACTGCTCTTATAGCCAACTCCTTCTTCAGCATCACATCAAGTTCATAAGGGAATTCAAGGGGATCAAAATCTCCAGTCTAAATGATTAAAACAATATATGTTATTTATGTGGTAATTATCTAACTTACATATTAGCCAAATGGAAAATACCTCCATCAAATCCAACTTCATCTGAAGGGCGGACTTCCCAATCAACTTTACACAATCTACATCCCAAAATACGAACTTGTATTTTAACTTTCCATCAGAGGCAAGCACTTCAAGCTTAAACCTGTACCATGCGTGATCAAAATAAGAAATTGTCAGTAATGAAGCGTTTGGTTATATGATGATAATCATTGATATGCAATACTTAGAAGTTACCTTGGGACTGGCTCAGAACTGATGTGTTTGGAATAACACATGAATTTTCCATCCTTCAAAGTCACACTTTTGGTACATTCACTACATCCATCATAATACCATCCTGTCTGCCCACATTCAAACTTCTCCAGAGTCGCAACAGTCACACATGTAGTTTCCTGAAACAGAAAGATGGGATGATGTCTCAAAAAATGGATTAGAACCCAGTCTGTGTAATTCCTCAATCTAAGACAATCATGTATTAAAGAGAAACTTACAGTATGCAGATATGCAATATCAGACAGACTCAACACTTCAGCTTTCCATACAAATTTGTCCAAATCAGAAAAAACAAAGGTATTTGTGGTTTCCATTTACATGCTCGAGGATGAGAGCGTCGGCAGATCATCTTTAAGTCTGATGTACATAGATCAGAATGAAAACAGACTGTTAGTAATCATAGGTTGCTAATTCATAACTTCATAATAAAATCACTTACTTCTCTTTAAGGTTTTTAACCTCCTCAATAGACAAATCATTGATGAGCAGTTTTGTGCCGTTCCAAGCATTTGATACATTTAAAGGATAATTTCCTGAAAATTGAGATATTTATAAATGACAACACTTAAAGTTGGATATAATAATTGGATATAATAAGAAATAGTCACATAGCATACCTTGAGGTTCCTTGATCCTTGCATTCATAAGTAGGAGAACAATACTACCATCAGCCTTATGAGTCGTATAATACTCATTCAGTTGCACAACTAATTTACCCCAAAGAGTACATTGCACATGATGTTTGCTGATTGACAGGAATTACAAAACAAACAACATGAACATGTTAGACTTTTATATTTATCAGCATCAATGTTAACAAACAAAATGAAACACCTACCTCAGATCAGTTAATGAAAACACAACCTTGCTTTTGTTGTTATCAGGAATTATCTGGGCTTGGGATATTTCAGTAACCCCACCAATTATATCTGCACAAAAGTTCACCACAGACAGTTATGTATAACGGAGAAGTCACAATACAATGCGTTCTATTATAACAGTAAAAATGTAATTCACCATATAACAAATTCGTTATGTATTTACCCTCAATAATAGCATTTATTCCAATTAACTTGAGGTGGTTCAGAGGTATGTCAGCAAGTTGGACCTTTTTGACGGAAGTTGAACCACAGAAAATCAATTTGAACTTATGATCAGTGGATTTGAAGGAGAAATCATTGCTGGAAACTTTGAAATTCTGCATTATGTAGGAACAACCAAGTTCAAGCTGTGTTTTGAATTTTGATACCAAATAAGATGGCACAATGGCTTGAATCAAATCCAACTGTGAAAATACAAACATCTTGAAATCAGTATCATATACCAGTACTGTTACAACAAAATCAGAATGGCAAAGCAGAAACGTTTAGATTGTATTATACCTTTGAATCAAACAGAATAAGCTCTAAGTGTTCTCTATTCTGAGAACTGGTAACAGACCACAGATGCTTACATCTAACAACAACCTTCCACAAATCCTTCGAATCGTCAATGCTACTGATATACTCGATTGGGCGCGCCATCGTCACACAACGATTCGTAACAGCGCAGAGAGCCTTGCGTGAATGAAAACGAAAGGGACGTCTGTAGCAATGGCTTGCGTGAATGAAAACAACTGGAAGGTGTTAAGCAATGGAGGTTATACATAAGTACACATTGGGGAAGGATTGAAGGAAGAGTGAAAAACTTTTGGTGTTCCATTTGAATTTGAATTCTGATTAAGAGAGACATAATGGTTTGGCATGGGGAAGAGGAAGAGAGGCACAATGAATGACAAGGAATAATGAATTGGTATTCCCCATGGTTAATATGTGGGATTTATTTGAAAAAAAAAATTGAAAATGTGGTGAAAAATTGTGGGAGTGCCACATCAGATTCAAATCAATGTGGTGCAAGATATTTTGGAGTTTCCAATTTTACCCCAATACAATAGACCAACAATGAATTTTTTCAGCTGTGGTGTTGTGGTAATTTCCAGGGACTATCATTTTTATAGATAGATAATAGATATCAAGTATGGGAATTTTAAAATAAGAGATAAGAGAACTGAATGCTAACTATAGAACTACTGAAGTAAGAACACTTGATTATTGTGAGAAATGAGAATAATTAATCTTGACCATTAAATATTAATTCATCGAAATTAATAAACTATATAGTTTGTGTTTCTATAATCCTCTTTTTTTTTTTTATAATTTATATAATTTATAGTGAAACTTAACTCATAATATATTTAAGGAAATAATATATTTATAGCCTTTCAATAATAATTGAAATAATTTGAATTTTTTTAATAAAATTTTGATCATAAAATAATTTTATAAATGATTTATGAAATTTTATGTTAAATAAATTTGTATTGCTGTATTATAAAATATTAGCAATTAATAAATTAATTCAAACATTTAATATAATATTAATTCAAAAAATATTTACTAATAATGTAAATATTATCGTTATGTAAAAAATTCAAAAACTATTTTCTAATAATGTATATATTATCTTTATATAAAAGTATACATTAATATAATTATTTTATAATCAAAATCATAAATATAACTATTTTTGTATTACTTTATATTAACTTAATGAGTTTTTATTATATAAAGTTGTGTTAATTTTTTTAGTACAATAAAAGTAACATAAATATATTTATTTATGGCAAAAGAAAATTGTTTAATAGATAATAACAAATACAGTTTTAATTATATATTATTTGCCTTTTTTAATGTAAAGATAATAAAATTTAAATATTATTTATAAAATAGTTTTGTTACAAATATAATTATTATAAAATTCCTATATAATACATATTCCAAAGTCTTCAAATATAAATAACATCCATCTTATTATTATTCCGAAGAGGCAATCAACATTTTTTGACGATTAATATAATTTTATATTGTTGTATCAAAAAAAAATTGCTAATATATTTTTTCTTCTAATTATAAAAAAATATTAATATTATTGAGTAATAAATAGTGAAATTAATTTCTATTTTTTAATACAACAATATAATATATACAAGAAGTAAATATTTTTTGAAATAATATATATAATTATATTAAAAGTTGTAAGTAATATATTAATTTCTAATTTTCGGATAAATATATAATTATATCCATAGTTGTAATTAACATACTGATTTCTATTTTTTTGTTTAAAGTTTTTTCACATTCAAAAATCTATAAAATATATTTTAATTGGTTAGTGTCATTCTTAAAAGGCAATAAATATTTATTTTTCTTAAAATAGAATTTGAATTAAGTTTCAGTATAAATTATATATGTTACATTATTATAAGATATCAATCGAAACAAAAATCAATCTAATTCATCTATTTGAATGAATTGAATAGATATAATTAATTATTCTTATTTCTCATAATAATCAAGTGTTCTCACTTGAATCGTCTTTTATATATATTTTATAGTTAATTTTAAGTAGAAAATCAGAGAAATTAATGAGAATATTAGAAGAATTTATACTTTTTAATTTATTTTATATTCATTTAATTTTTTTTGTATAAATTTGATTTTCACAAGAATGAAGGAAGAAAGAAAACATATATTTATGAGTAATTGTTAAAAAATTGTGAATACTTTTAATTTCATAATTGTTTTATTTATAGTTTTAGATTTAATATATATTTAAATGACATGGAAAAATGAATTAACAAATGACCTCATTTAATATAAGCCATTTATCAAAGACAAATGACACATCAAGACTTTTTTTTGTTGATAAAAATAAAAAGTTAACTAAAAAGATAAAATTCAGAAATTGATTTTATGAATAGAATAAAATGGAGAGACCAAACTATAATTTAGCTAAAAAATATTTATATTTAAAACAACTCAAAATAAATTTTCATAAAAATTAATTTTAAAATAATATATTTTTTAAAATGTCATTTTAAGTATATTTTAATTTTTAATGATATATATTTATGTTATAAGATTTTAAAATTAATTTTTGAATTTATAAAAATTAAATTAATATTTTAAAATTATTTTTCATAAAAGTCATTTTAAAAATATAAAGAAAAAAAACAATATTAATTATTCAAATCCCAAACAAATGTTTTAATAATAATTTTTCAAAACGCATATGAGAGGTGAAAATCACGTAATAGAAGAGCGCGTGAAAGCAGGTGAGTTAGAGTAATAACAATGGAAATAGAATGATTCTTTTCTCCTCTATTACTCCTTCCTTTCTTCCCTCTCCCCAATTTTTCTCTCTCTACAAAACCCTCTCTTTCTCTCTCTTACAAAACCTTCTCTCTCTCTCTACTGCAAAACCCATTTAAGGTTCGTTTTCCGATTCCCAATTTCTTTGTCTTTTCTTCCTTTTTCTTCTATCTATTTTTTTTACGTGTTTTCGCACACTGTTCAAAACTTTGGAGTTCATTGTAGCTTGATTAGGGTTCTTGGTGTTTTTATTGTTACTCAAATTGTTAATGAATTTAGTTTAACTGCATTGAAATTACGAAATTGGGATTTTTTTTTCTGAATTGTTGAGTGTTGTGGAAGTAGTGATTTTGATTGTGAATTTTGGGAATTTGTAGAAAGTTTGAGTCTTTGAGTGATTCTATTGCAGTTTGCTAAGTTTGTGCTTTTGGGTTTTCTTTGGAATTTTGTTTGCCCCATTGTTTACTTCTTCTAGGTGACTTTGTCTGCAAGGCTTTTGGAATGTGTTTCTGCAACAATGTCATTATAGTTTGGTGAATGGAGTAGTGAGAGTGTTTTAATAGAGAATGTTATAGTTTTGTTACTTTTATTGTTGCTTTTGTTCATCTTGTTGAAGAATTCGAAACGTAATCGGTAGACGAGAAGAACTGAGTTTTGTTGGATGGGTAATAAACTCGGGAGGAGGAGACAAGTGGTGGATGAAAAGTATACACGGCCACAAGGATTGTATAATCATAAGGATGTTGATCAGAAGAAGCTGAGGAAACTAATCCTCGAATCAAAGCTCGCACCTTGCTTTCCTGGAGATGAAGAAACTGCCTGCGATCGGGAAGAGTGCCCAATTTGCTTTCTGGTATAGTTTCTATAATATGCCCCCAATGTTTATTTTTTTCCCCACATATTCAGTTATAGTGAAATTTTTAAATATGATCAAATATACGTCAATTCAACTTATTTCAATTTCAATTTAGATGTTTAATCTATTTTTTCTTTGAGCTAAATTGATGGAGTATACTATATCTTTGAGCACTTTTACACACACTTTCTTATATGAATGGAAGTAACATTAAGCATATGTGGACTGTTTTTACTCCTTGAGTCCTTGTTTCTTTGAAATCTGTTCTAAAGCGTGATTTCAGATATGCCTTTTCTAATCATACCATTCCGGTTGTGCTTTGTTTCCCCCCTTATTTTAGTATTATCCAAGTCTAAACCGATCAAGATGTTGCACGAAAAGCATTTGTACAGGTAATCTTTGGGTTACTTCATTGGTTATATATACATTTTCTGTCATTAGCATTTTATACAACCTGATTAATTTCCTTTTATCAGAGTGCTTTTTGCAGATGAAAGTTCCAAATTCAACTCGTCCTACACAGTATCCTGCATTACTAGTTGTTTGTCTTCAATATGAATATGTAACTTAAAATTGACAGTCTAGCAACTTTCTTGGTGCTTTAGTATTAGGATAGCTGTTTGCCTTAACAACATCAGATGTCCCTTCTGTAAAACGGCAAATTATGCCGTGGAGTACCGTGGTGTAAAATCAAAAGAGGAGAAGGGATTGGAACAAATAGTAAGTTGTTATCTTCTATGATTATTGTCTTTTGGAATGCATCTTCTAAAAAAGAATTTATAGTGAATAATGTTTTGCATGCATACTCGTAATTATTCAGGAGGAGCAGCGTGTTATTGAAGCAAAAATTAGGATGCGGCAGCAGGAACTTCAGGATGAAGAGGAAAGAATGCATAAAAGATTAGAAGTAAGCTCTTCAAATGTAAACGTGGCTGTTGCAGATGTCGAATACAATTCAAATGCAGGTATTCTTCAAATAAAGTTCCATATTTTGTCTGTACGTGTAATGTGTCTGTGACAAATTCTAATTGCATAAATTATTTTGTTCTTTTTTTTTGTAGTGGCTGAATCTTCAATGTCTATCATTGAACATGATGAAATTGTCTCTTCTCAAGACTCGTGCACCACACCAATGGTTAGACCACCTCCTGCCGCTAGGGCCAATAGGTATGATAGCCTTCACTTCTTTTCTTAACCAATCCCCCTCAATTTTCTTATTATGTCTTTTTGCGTTTCTGCATACATTGTTCTTATACCAACTTATGGATATTTGATCTGTTTATTATATATCATCGATCATATTGCGTACATTATCAAATATTGAGTCTACCACGAAATGAGACAGAATATTCTTCTTGATCTAATGTGAATAGTCAAGCATCAATAATTTTGTGCTAATGCTCAGACAATTCATTCAACTGATAATGTTACAAAAAGTACAGTGGCGGATCCAAAAAAATTTGTCGGTGGGGGCAAAACAACTAGTATAAATATTTTGACTAAAGAAAAATATTACAAATTTTTACATAATACATAAGGATGTATAAAGTTAAATAAATACACCATGAAATAAATATCACATGTCATGGAAATATGTGCTATTTACACACAAAACTATTATACTGGAGAGAATGGAGAGGATCCTGACCTGAAGGCAACTGAATCACCCTGAGGTATATAATATATAATAGTGGCAAATGTAAGTGATGTGATATTCATATTGAATAAGAAAGACAATGTGCATTTGATTTTTAAATCACAACAGAGAGGAACTATTCATAGATTTTTTATTTTATTTTCTGACACTTGTAATCCAACATCTGAAAATTCGCCTGCATCTATGGTCTCATCAGAATGTCATAATTAAATCCACTGAAACTTCAAACTAGTTTAACTTCAATTATAATTTCGTTGATTATTTGTTAATGGAAGTCTGATTTCCTAATTGCTTACCTAACAAAATAGATGAAGAGGGAAGTTGGTGTCATCAGTTATTAGTTGATTCCTTCGTTTTAATTCAGTCACTCAACTTCATCTGAGGCTACTCCTGATGTTTTGATTCTATGAATGGATATGGTTAGACATACAAGAAATGATGGGTCACGTATTTATAGACATTACAAGCGATTAGCTTTTTGAAAGAAGGATTAAAGAATTGTTCTTTTGGATCAGCCCTTAACTACTACTGTGTTTTTGTTGTGCTATTACTATCCATAAACCATTTTAAACCTGGCTTGTCTCTCCTATTGCATCTCCAATTACTAATGCAAGACTAATGACATCCAAATTGAAGCCTTCATTGTTACTCGATAACATATATTTTAAAAAATCCAAATGAAGAGAAAATTTTTCTCTCTAATTTGTGATGGTTAATATGCACACAACACCATACGTGGAGTCCCTCCAATTTTTGTTTGTCCATTTAGGTCGGCGTCTTATTAAAATAAGCAGTAAATAGTGTTCACTTAAGGCCATGAGGGCTAGGGTCTTTTATATTATTGCATTTTCGAAACTAACTTTCTGGACATACCTTACATTTTTTTGCTAAATGCTGTAAACTGCAGAGATGATGAGTTTGATGTTGATCTTGAGGATATTATGGTCATGGAAGCAATCTGGCTTTCTATTCAGGTAAAGAATTCTGTTTCAACATGCTCACAACTTGAAATTGTTCAGCTTTGTTTAGGTTAAGTTCTTAGACAATGATGAAAAAAAGAAGGAATTTCTTCCAAGGGAGTGCAATATTTGCTTTTGTCTTGTTGAATCTTATCATCACAATGATTATTAGTTCTATCATCATCATTATTATTTTTGCTTCTGAAAAGTGATTTTGGAATGAAAGAAATATATAATATCCAGAATTGAGCGTGTTCCGTGTTCCACATCTTGTAAGTCGTGCATATAAATATGAATATTAACTTCCAATCAACAGCAATGAAAAATTCTTTTCATTTAAAATACTTCGTTGATTGTTGATTCTTAGCTAGTACGATCATACTATAAATGAACTACTGTACATAACTTTTCAATATACATGTCCATGCTATGTGAGACACTGTTTATTGTGTTTGTTTCCATATGATATGGTGCCTCATTCATGTCTGTGGTGACTATACCTCAACTTTTGACTGATCCTTCGCTAAAACTATAGAGATATGGTTGTGATTGACTCAACATATGCATACAGGAGAATGGAAGGCAGCGAAGTTCTCCTTTTCCTGACGCTACTTCTGGCCACTACGTAACCGATGATCGCTATGCTTCATCTCCCATGGGTCAACAGACAGGATCATCCTCTTCCCCATCAGGGGGTCTTGCTAGTGCCATTGCAGCTCTCGCTGAGCGTCAGCAAATGTCCGGGGAATCATCTGTAAGCTCCAACAATGAAAGTACACCATCATTCAACATGCCACCGGGCTCCAGAAGGTTTTATAACAGGCTTGGTAGAGACGTGGTTAGTTATTCACCCGCAGAAAACCTGAATGAGGTGCCACCAGATGATGCCATGGCAATGGCTAGAAGTCATGGTCAATGGAGCATAGATCATGGATCGCAGGTAGCTGAAACGGCAACTAGCTATACAAACTCTGTTGAAGTGGAAAACCATGGTGAACTGTCGTCTATGTCACAGTCTAATGACATTGATGGAAGCCTTCAAAGTACCACTGACCCCATTGTTCCCGAGAGTTTTGAGGAGCAGATGATGCTGGCTATGGCTGTCTCTTTAGCCGAAGCTCGAGCCATGCCGAGTGGACATAGTGCTTCATGGCAATAGTTTTGGCTGAAGGACCGCTGATTCAATCTTTCTTGAATTGGTGATGCTTGCCTTTGCTATGTGGCCTGCCGCCGGGTCCTGAGTTTGGATGTTGAGCAAAAGTCACACATTGTGTGCGATTTTGGTCAAGGATAAGGTAGCGTTTCTCTTTTCACACAAATTACAATATATAGATGTCAAAGGAAAACTAATGATTCAAGTTGGTGAAAGGTTGTTTCTTAATGTCATTTTTTTTACTGCGTGAAATCGTCTCATTGTTTTTCTGTAAATAATTTTTTCTTTTTGATAAACGTCTTTTCAATTTATAGTAATATTTAGCGCATTCTAAGCATGTATCAAACAAGAAAGGAAATTAAATATCTATGTCAGTAAAATTCATTTAGATCTTGAATGAAGTTAAACTGTATGTCGGCATCAATTGATTGAAACATTTGGAAAATTCTGCATCAATTGTCTAAATGAACTTTGTCAAAAGATTTTATTCTTGGAGGATGCATGTGAAATATAAGGGAGGTCAAGGAAACTAGAGGACAAACACTTAAGAGAGATTTAAAGGTTAATGATTTATCTTCAAACCTAATACATGGCAGAACTTTATGACATTACCAATTTTTCTTGTCTTTTTCTCCCATTATTTATTTTCTTTTTTCCTTAGGTCCATATTGACCTTTACATGTACATGAATCTTTTC